GAGATTTTCCCATAGACGTGTTTTTACAGCTGTGGTTAATGTGTGACTAATCGTTACTGTGGAGTAACCACACAACCACTCCTTAGAGCTGGGCAAGCACACATAGCTGTGCTTCATCAGTAGGGTTTTGTTTGAAAGTAGAAATGGTAACATCCCAAAAGAATATTTAAAACCAACAACACTTTTAAACAGGGCTCTAACCATCTATGCCATATGCATATTGTTGTAGTTGGACTACAATTTGCATATGCAACAAAAAAGACAAACTATCTCCCCCTGCCCCAAACAAAAAACAGTTCAAAGGCTTCTGTTTTATAGGCAGCTGCTATCAAATATTAACAGCAGGGAGAGCAAACTCAACCAACATTTTTCAGAAACATACATACATTAGCTTTTCCTCCAGTACATTACACTCCAGAAAAAAAGAAAAAAAGCCACTTTTTCGGTGCATGTAAAAGGCAATGTAACTCCAAAACCACTGTCTTTTCCACTATGCCATTCTGAGAACAATAAAACTCCAAATAGACTTTCGCCTGAGTCATTGCTCAGGTGATGAAGGTTTAACACTCAACAACTATTTTAAGTGTTTTAGGTTGTTCATCTTCAGGCATGGATATATTGAATGGAAAAGGACCAGTTCCTCCATCTACAGTGCTCAGTAAAGCATATACAGTCTTACTCACTTGATAAGACAGTCCCTCATGGGATGGGTAAGCACTTCTTTGCACTGAGAGTGGGCTTGTGAAGGCTTCCAGTGTGGAGGATAGATGATTAAGGTCATTTCCAGTTGCCAGCAAATTTCGCTTTTCAGATATCCTTCAGGTGTGGATGGATAAGTGAGTATGTAGGCCATCCACTCACTCAATTTGGATACATGTAAAATTTCTCTGCCTCTCTGAAACCTCCACTTTATTTCCAGGGTTACTAATTTGTTTGKTTTTTGTTTGTTTGTTTTGTTTTTCTAAAAGGACAGCAACATTATTTTATGGCCTTTTGAAATTATTTCAACCTTAATTCCAATTAAGTTTTTGATCTTTTCCCCCCCGAAGAGAAATATCCACATAGCAAAGTCATACTGTTTTACTTAAACTGGAACAACTGCTGTGTTCTGAGATAGATCTGTCTATCCAAAAAGCTTACTTTAGGTTTAAATCTTACCTGTTTATTCTGTGGCTTATGCCACTTTAAAATAGAATTTTCTGGTTTGAAGAACACTTCCTATTTTGTTATTTTCTATTTTTTTTAATGTAATGATTGTCCTTAGCTAGTTCCTGGTTTGATTTCTAGCTAGCACCTATATGTATATGTGTCTATATATGCAAACGTGTGTGTCTATATATGTGTGTCTATATATGTGCACACACACACAGCAGTCTGTGTCAGTCCTGGCAAGTGWTTTGATACTATCTTAAAGAATAACCCCTAAAAGCTGTACGTATACTTTTCCATACAGATAAACTATGTATACATACAGGTATACAGGTAAACTAGGGCAGAGTAGTAAGCTAGAGTGAATAAAAGAGCAGTTCCATGGCACAAGGGTAAGATTGTGTGTAGAACAGCACAGCACAGGGCAATTCATATACTCAATGGTGTTGATATCCAAAGAATATAACTCCAATAGACCTCTGTTCCTGCATGTTCCTCTTGTGTTTGCTGCTTTTATGCCAGTGAGGATAAATGTTGTTAGAACCCCAGGCTGGTGCATTTTCAGGATGATACAAGCAACATTCAGTGTAGAAAACGGTTGGTTTAAAGTGTGAAATGGGATTTTTGGGGGTGATGTTTGCAGAAAAGCATCATTTGGTATGTTTAACTGTAGATATTTTGAGGAAACAGGGTGAGGAACACCTAGTTCATGCTTAGCCCTAACATCACAGCCACTGACTTGTCTAGTCTAGTCTCTTTGAAAGAGGTGGTTTTCCAAATATCTCCATATGGACATGTGGCTCAGTTGGTCTTTTCTCATCTCATAGCAATGTAGCCCAAAAGACTTAGATCTTGATCTAAGAAGTTATGTTAGGGGAAAAAAAAACAGAGGGGAAGGATTTCTAACTGGTTTCTGTATTCATAGAATATTATCTGAAAGAGATCTCCGTCTGGCTTTTCATATTATATTCTTCCTGAACATAATACTTCATTTTAAAACCATTTTGATTTTTTTTGCCCTCACCATTAATGCGAGGGTTCTTAAGGGTTCTTAAGTGCTTCAGAATTTATACTTGCCGGTTGCTATTTTTTTTCTACTTGCATATTATCCTGTAGCCTAAATTGCTCATCTTCATTCCTTATGTTGTTGTGTACCAAGACGAAGATATATACAGCAACTATAGCACTTGTCAGTCTTTATTTCTCCAAGCCAGACAAAACAAACTGTTAGCTTACTGTGGGAAAAGACTGTGCCCTCCCCCTTTACTTTAATGGCTTTTCCCTGTCCCTTCCCAGCATGAATTAATCCTAGAGCATTTACAGAATGTAAGCAAAGATCTCAACAGATTCTTAGTACTGTGATCCCCATAAGGCTGAAATTTTTCTCTATCTACTGTAAATGCCATGGCTAATGCACCTTAAAGATACTTTTACCTTTTTTACTGCTGCGTCAGAGAGACAATGATTCTACAACTCACCTAGACCTTTCTTCCTGTCTTATTCTTAAGAAAATTCCTAATTCAGAGCAAAAATTCATGCTGCTAGACCTCCAAAATGCCTGACCTTGTCTTATTGAAGCTGCTCTTTACATTACCTGTCAAAACATTCAAATATTTCCCTCTAATATTCCRTTTTGGTGAGGCCTCCCAAATTCCCAACTGCAAATGTAATTTCATTCATGGTCTTCTAGGCCAGCTTAATGTGAATATTTAAAGCCCCCCAAAAGGGGTTCTGTTACCATTTTTCCCTGATAACTCCTCTTCCTGTCCAGCCTATTGCAGGCTCCTCCTTAGCCTGGTCCCTATTGCCTTATAACTCTTATAACAATGTCCAGTTTCCTTCTTTGATTTATTAATTTTGTAGGCATTACATTTGGTAATCTGCAGTAAAATCGGTGTCTTCTAAGCTGACAAGATAATTAAGAATGCTTTTGRTTAGGCATCCTATTTCATGAGCTAAAGATAACAGCAAAATGCCAAATAACTCTGTTTCTCATCTCTTGCCTAGTTAAATACTTTTGAGTTTTGTTTCTACCTTAYGTACAGAAAAAATCACTCTGCACCTTTGGTGTACTTGGCATTTTAATCCGTACTTTTTACATCCGAGTCCTCCTTAAAATTAAGATTGGACATTTAGGTAGRCTGTGGGCTACATCTAAACTAGTTTTTCTTCTCAGCACACCCATAARGTTGCCCTTTTTTGTTTCTCATTCCCTATTTCAATTACAGATCTACAGAGCCTTTTAGATTTCCTTTATGGTGCCTGATACAATTTGACAAAGTGAGAATTGTGAGAAGTCCTTCTTTTCTCATAGTTTGCCTTCCTTGACATTGAGTGTATTTACCTCTTCCAGCTCATTTTCTAGCACAAAGAAGGGGTCAGATTTTCTGCCAGCCACATTCTTTGCATCTCACTCATGAACAAGAGCAAATGTGGTAATTGCTTCAGAATGGGTGGAGCAGAAAGCCTGGAATTGCAGTGARCATAAACATGACTTGGAAAAGCCAGCACACCCAACATCAGAATCAGAGGTAGTTTTTCTACAGATCATTCTCTCTTATCATTTGTGAGGATTTTGGCATAGAAATTTTCCCTTTTCCCTGACAATTCATTTTTGTGCCTTTCTGTCACACTAATTTCTCCTGATTTTGCTAATTAAAAAAGTGGAAACAGATCTTGGGAATCCCCAAGGAAAGGAATTCATCCTGGTACAGCACTCCTATGCCGTATGCTCAGCTTTGATCTTCCACGGCACYCTCTAATCCAGTTTAAGGGACAGGTGAAGTTGCCATGCAGCTAGAAGGCACTTTCTAGCTTYGATAGATACAGAAGCAAGGTCTTTTAAACTCAGTTCCTAAATCCTTTTGCTTGCTCTCAAAACTAACTTTCTTTTTTTTTTTCTCTTGATTGGAAAAGTATAGCCTAGAGCCAAGGAAGAAAGAAACTGAGACATTTACTACAGAAGTCATTTTCAAGCTACTTTTGTGTATATAYATATGAAAACTCAGCACATTGATCACGCTAGTAAATTCAATTCATCTTTAATAATCCCAGCAGCAAGGGTCTTGAGATTTTGTATCTAGATAGTTTTAAGAGAAAGTAAGAATAGGTAGAAAACTGAGGCAGTTAAAAAAAAACCAGCTATCTTTTACAGCTGAAGGCCTTGTAAGTGAAAATAAATATGTGGGCTGAAAAAAAAAGCCTGAAAACAAAAAGCAACCAACCAAAAAAAAAACCCTGTCCTGATAGGCAGGAGATTTGGCCTTCCCTCTCCCTGAGAAACATAACTCTCAATGTCTGCTTTGCTTCCTCTCATCCCATACACATAGCACTTAAGAGTAATTGATGCAGCAGATTATTTAGGACAGGCCTTGCTCTTCCCCTCTACTGAGGTACAATATCCAATGAGTATTTTCTTTCAGGAGGTACATTGCCATCAAAGACATCGATGCTGCCCACCCTGCAGCCCTTCCTGCTCCCAGTTTCCTTGCAGCAGAAGCCAGGTGTGTGAGTTTGAGGGAACCCTGCCAAGGATGTACAGCCTCTTCTGTCCTTTGGAGGACGGTTACAACCAGCACGAGGCACCACAGAGTGCTGCTGAAGGCCTTTAGGCCAGGCCTCCACCTCAGCCAGCTCCTGCCCACACAGCTGCAGTGTCCTCTGCCACCCCAATGCATGGGCCAGGGGAGCAACGAAGCAGATGATGCTCAAACCTTTCCCCCTTCTTACACTTCGCAGCAAACTCTAGATTGTATACATTGCATCTGAAACCCTCGAAGACTTGGCAGGTTTAATACCACTTCACACTTTATGAAGCATTATACAGGGCAGGAATTCACAAATCACACGCATTCACGCCAAAATGCCATTTATTGCAGTATACCTTTACAGGGCATACAGAAACCAAATGTTGCATTTTCTGTTAGACTTTTATTTCATTTGTACCACTTAAATAACACAGAATGTCATGTTTGTTTCACAAACGGTCAGTTCAGACTACCAAAATATACAGTTTTTTTTTTTCTTTCCCCCTAGCAAGGTTGTGAGGTACAACTGAATTTTACCACTTTATCTTCCTGTGCTTTACAAGAATCTTTTCATAGATAGACCTATCAAATAACATTTCTACATTCCTATACAAAGCAAAGAATTACAGCTGAAATTAAAACCATCTGGTTGGTGCATTAACCTATAAAAATTCGGTCAGTTAAAAAAAAAAAAAGCCATAAGGACTTTGCAGTTTTACTTAAAAATAGCCAGCTACATGTATGCACAAGTTTTCCTTGAGCATAAAGAAGAGTTTTGAATCAAAAAAAAAGTGATTTTTTTCTTGGGTTGGTAGAGAAGGCACCAATTATAGCTGCGTAGCAGCTTAAGAGAATTTTATACTTCATTTAACTTACCCAGATATTTAAGTTCTCCTGCTAATGTGCAACATTTGTACCAAATGTTGTAATACTCTCCAATCATTCCCTGTGGCTAAAGGGTACAAATCATCTCATCAGTTGTAAACACCCCTCCAGCCCCGCAAGCCCTCAGCTCCAAGCGATGAAGAACTGACCTTGCAAGAAGCTCACCGAGGGCAGAGCAGAGGGCCTGTGCAGAACATCACACTTTTCTTCTAAGCAATTTTGAGATATTCYGGAGAACCTCAGACCCTCAGGGAGGCTTTAGTGTCTTGCATCCGACACCACGTTGACCACGAACAGCTCCAGGCACCTGGGCCTTCCTCTGGGGGGCTTCTCTGGGAGGACTTCTCAGCCCTGTCAAGTCTGAGATCCCTTGGGCTGCTTCTCTCCAAAGTGCASAACAGAAAGGGGGGCACTCTGGAGACACCGAAGTCAGCACGCCAACTTAAATATTTAAGGCCAGCTACACCCAACCTTCATCAAACTTGTCTTAGCTGCTACGCCTCCCTACTCCTTAGCTGCAAAGTCAGGATATGCTGTTTTCTACCTTTTACCCATGTGTGTAAGGTACTGTGTAGTATGGATGGCAGATGATGTTGTGAGGCAACCACTGTAAACAGTGCACAGTGAGGTAGGTGCTAGAACAAGCCATCAGTTACCTGGGGACTACACAGTAGCACAGGATAGTAGGATCTGTAGTGCAACAGCCAAGCTCAGATTTGCCATCTAAGAAGAGGGAAGATTTGGGAGGGGACTGTTTAGAAAAAAAAATCCATTTCTTATTTAAGCCTAGAACGAAAAAGAGGGGAGAAGGATAGTCCAATGCTATTGGTAAAATGCATTTCTCCATTTATTTTTTGGGGTCTTGCAARTACTAATACAAAACAAAAGATGAAATCAGCTGTTTAGGAATTAGTTCTGAGTATGGGATAATATGATGTGATCTTTTCAAAATATAAGTTATTTTAAACCACRCGACAGTCATTTGCTTTCCCTGCCCCTCACGCTTCCTTTCACTGGAAATTATTTTGGTTTGATGTTTGTAACCATTAAGTGCTCCAAATATGGCAGCTAGAAAGAACTAGAGAACTGCAGTTTACCAAACTTCTGCCTAGAGCAGAGATTTGTTACACTTGAAACACAACTACGAGTTAAATAGGAAGGATCCCTGCTATATGGAATTTGAGCACTGTTAATGATTTATTCTTGCCAGCCCTTTCCCTAAATATCAAGGGGCTTGTACATACAGTGCTGCCTTATCTTCTTCCCACCGCCTGCCCCACCAGTCTTTAGAGAAACCAACGCAAGTTGAGGAGTTTGAAGTCCCACTTCTGTTTAAAAACAAACAAAATCAACAAACAAAAAGTTGTGCAAGAAAGCAGGGAATGTTCAGTGTATCCCAATCTACTTTGTAGTTAAAAAAAATTTCCAATGGCAAGGTGGTAAGGGCAATACCCAACGATCATATGGCTTAAGTTTAATGCAAAGCGCACAGGGAGGTCCATGTGCAGGGAGAGAAGAGTCCAAGAAAGATGGAATTAAAAGTGTCCTGAAGATCAGTGTTTATGCATAGAATTCTTCTTGTTTGTGTGGTTTTTGGTATCCTCCATTAGACTGTTTTGGTTCATCCAGTGAATAGCTTCCTTCGTCTTTCTTCTTCATTCTGTACAGCATAAATACAACTAGAAACACTGCGAACACCAGGCCTACTACTCCTCCAGCAATAACACCTAGAAAGAGGAAAAAGCCACAATTTACTTTAGATACCATGACAGATAATACTAGCGTGATTCTATGCTTCCATGTTATTCCTGACAGCATGGTCCATGACTTCAGGACTTTCAGAAATGAATTTGTCCTTCCTCTCCATGCACCAAGATGGTCATCCTCCCACTAYGACGAGCTTACTGCTCTACATGAGGCAAACCTACAGAAACAGCTGTGCCACACGACCGTGCTGCCAAGCACGATGGGCAGAGCAAGGCTGTGTTGTTCAGCCCTACTGTTCTTTGACTCAGGCTGCTTCAGAACAGTTTCACAGTAATTTGAGGGAAGAGTAAAAGAAGTTTAAATGTAAAATTCTGGATAGCCTAGAGGTGGCCACTTTGCTATTAGCACATTAGTATTGTTTCAGCCACACAGAATTATGAATCACCACCGTCATTTCAGAGGTCTAATATAAAAGTCTTGCCTTCCTGCTTAGAGACCTACTCGCAGGTTACAGCTTCTGGTGCCTGGAAAGACTCCTACAAGAGCCTGACTTTATTTATCAGAAATTTAGAATATCAGGTACCTCCAAGAACTTCTTTTCTGTCCATTATTCCTGAGGCTCCTGCTGCTTTGGCATTCCTCCCAGAGTCAGGCAGCACTTCAGAGTTCTGGGTGGGGACCAAATCTTCTTCTTTAATCAAGATGAAATCTCCCTGTTGGGACACACACAGCAGGTTATTCGTGTTTCTCATGTCTGTTCCTGGAGACTTTCCACAGCTTTGCTTTGCGTTTTTTTTTCAGCTAAAACCCTCCACCAATGTAACATATTAAGCCCCTCGTTGTTCTGGCAAATTACCACCCCTTCCTCCAGGCCCAACTTAGTACCCATTATTACAGCCATCTCCTTGAAAAGGCTGTCAAGGTTCTTAGTCCTCACCGGATCTCCAGAGCCATCTTCAGAAGCCTCCTCATGTACATCCTCAGGAGCCACTGTTGTGTGGGCACCAGTAAAGTCTCCCTCAGGATGGACAGGCAAGTGGGGCTCAAGCACATCTTTGGTGTCCAGCACATCAGAGCCAGGGGTACTTGGTTCCAGGCCATGGACCGTGCTTGAGACTTCTGAAGGAGTTACATGAACCACCAAAGGAAAGTGAGTGGTGAGACTTCTCATGGTTGTCATAACAGTGTCATTTATTGGTTTCTCAGGAGGTGAGTCCAGGTTGGGTATTTCATCTTTCACAGCTACAACTGGCTCCTCTGTCACCACGCTACTAGTGGCAGATGGAGGTAGGACTTCCTTTTCAGTTCGGCTCTCAACCCCAGGAAACAGCTGCTCATTGAAATCCATTGGTACTGCCAGTAATGAGGAATTAGTTGGTTCCGCTGGGATAGTCCAAGTGGGAGACTGGTCTGTCAGGGGACCTGGAAAACCAAAATATTATACTTGACCAATTTACAGAGATAACAATAGTATCTTCAAGACATCTGTCTAAGCGAGGAAGCCTAACTTGCAAGAGCCAGTTTTAGGAATAATAGTTCACTTTGTAATCCTTTTCAGTGGAGCAAGGAATGGGCAGAGCAATGCACTATTTAGCAGTACTTTATAGTCATCAGGTTTCCCCCAGGGCACAAACAGTAGTTTGTCTGTAGACCAGCCAACAAGGACAACTGCTGTTAGGTACTCTAGTACATTCTAGTCAGAATGGTTATTTGAGTCTCACCCCACAGGTCTTTTTATACAATTTAGAGCAGCCGCCCATGTTCTCAGCACCTTTAGCCACTGGTGCATTTGGAATTGATTTCATGGTCTTGTTCCTGGGGAGTTTCATCTACAATACAAATCCATGGCTGGAGGCAAGCAGAAGGATACCATGTTTTAATTTTCAATAGCTTGCTCTATCCTCAGCAACATCGCCTGAACTGCAGAGTTTTACGTTCAGCATTGCATGCCAAGTGTCTCTCTCATGCAGTTTAGTAATCATTCTGACAGATATTTTCTCCACCCTAAAAAAATTTTATTCTGCTTTTGAAAAATTATGGCCCTTGGGAACTTGCACATCTGATGACAGATAAAGCTTGCACTGGATGTATGTTGGCAGCTAGTGGTTTTACACACCCTCAAATGGTATCTCTTACCAATTCGTAAGTCAGGGAAAAGGCCCTCATGTTTTCTCAGTCCCRTGACTGCAGAATAACTATAGTTTCATAACATTTTCCAAGTGATTTTCCATAGCAGTAGTAATATGCAGTAGAAACTGTTTCTGCTCCCTTTCAAATCCTCTACAAGTCATTTTCTGCTGATTGTTAGTAGCCAAAGCAGTACAAGAGTAGATCAGCCCACCCATCTGTTCCCCGTTCTCATGTTTATGAAAGGCGATTGTTTTTCTTTAAGCCAAAACGGCCATCAAGATCCAGGGTGCCACATTCTAGAAAAATCAGACTCTAATAGGACAAGCGCTAACAGCTCACCTGCACCCGAGCCTGAGAAAGCATCATCGTCGTCACCAGAAGAATCAAGATCTTCAGGAGGAAGGTTCAGATTTGTAGTTTGCTTTAAAGAGGGGAGAAAAACAGACATGTTAATGATGAGATCACATAAAGCAATCATGTTGCTGGTCCTCTAAGTGCTCCTGAACATTACACCGACTTTCTCTGTTGAGACGGCATTTTTTGATCTTTGCTCACTCCATCTTCCTCTTCTCAAAACAGTAGTTCTGATTGGTATAATTAGCACTGGGAGGGTCAGTTTTACAGTCCACCTAAGCTGCTTCTAGGCTGTCTTGGGGAAGGAATAAAGCAGAGAGCTGCATGTTGGTAAGAGCCCATTGTGGCACTGTGTAAGGACTGGGCCGTCTGGCTCATGCCCCAGCTGCTCACACCTGCAGCACCTATCAACACCTTCATCTGTGAATTACCTCATTACTTACAGGCGAGAAAGGATGGGGAGACAAAATGTTTTTGGCTTCTCTGCCTTTTCTGCAGTGTTCACATAGCTGAAACTATCAACAATATATAAGTGGAAGTAGAATCAAGATTCCCTTTTCTAAGTGTGCACTTYCAGATTAAGTCCTAAAACTGAAGCCAGCGCTTCCTGCAGAGTTAATACTCCCCTGAGCTTTCTCCATTTAGGCTTAAGGCAGCACAAGAACAGAAGCTTAGTTGTTGACATAAGAAGCTGATTCCCTGTTCTACAACACAGTCTGTCCTCACACACTGCTCAGAGTTGTTCAGGATATCCAGAGAGGTAAATACCAAATAAAGCAGAGGAGTCAGCCACTTCATACAGTGACTGTTCACACTGGGATAACACTCTTGTTTCCTGACTACCGTCAGCTTTGTTTCTGCAAGACTGTCGTTATCTAATCAGTAGTTCTCCATTCTCAGATTTCAAAGCACAACCCTGCACTTGTTTCTTCTGAATTTCATCCTTCCAGATCCGACACAGATAAATTTCCAGATTTTTGACTTCCACCCCATCCTCAAACTCTCTTCCTTTCCAGCACTGTCCAATCTGCAAATTTAGTAGATAAACTGTCACCCCACCTGGGTCAGGTTCTAATCCTGGATTTATCAGGATTATGAAATTTCACTTTACCACATAAGAACATASATTCTTACCAGTTGGCACACACACCCGCAGTAATTCCCTAGCTTGCACTAACATTGAGTCACTTAAAAATGAACAGAAGACTCACTTTCATCCTAGGAAGAAGCTAACCAGCATTGGTATGATCTGTCAAACAGAGCCACTGAGCTCTCTTATTGCCAACTTRTTATCAACTTATTGTCCTAGTTTTTTTATTATCAGCAGTGTATTTATTAACCTTATATCCTTTACATTCCTTAAGTTATCAGTTTTTTCCCTTAATACCTTATCCATCCCCCACATTTCTGGAGAAAAATTAGTCTCCAAGATGATTTACATGCCCATTACATGTTTACGGGACATAATCTGTTTGAAAACACATTCTAGCTTCCATCAGCTTATTCAGGTCTAAAATCTCAACCCTTCAATGGAATCATTGCAGTTAGACGATTAAGTAGTAGGTAAATATTTCAGCATTTGTCCTTCATTCTGCTTTCCTTATTTACTGCGATTGTGTAGAGGGCAGGGAGGGGAGAAGGGATGGATGGACAGACTGACACGCTTGCTTAGGTTTCTGCAAGCGTATTTCTAGAGTAATTTCTTTTTGCCCTTGAACCTTTTGTTTAGCGGTGTGTCATGAGGCAATCTGGATTTGCCCCTGCTTGTTTGCACTGTGCTTTTGCACTCATCCATGGAAACTAGGTCAGACAAGTACTTCCTGTATGTTTTCCTTCTTGTGTCTAAGGTCAGTGAAGAGCTTGTGACTCATACAAGCTGATCTCACTACATTTTCCATATTCTTTCTTTACTGAGAGTTTGCACTCCTAACTTAGTCTTTAATAGACTGTCAGGCTTCCAAAACTCTTCTCCCATAAGCTTCTCATGCAGTAACTTCGTAACTGAAGTGAGACCTCAAAACCAACACCATTTTCTTCTCTTTTCTTTTGCTTTTTTTTTCCCTTCTTGTTTCATAAGCAGTTGGAGTATGAAGCGGGGATGCAATTTCTTCCCAGTCGTAGGGTACTATCTGTAAGCACACAACAATCTCTCCACTTCTTACTAAAGAAAGGCACTGCTAGCAGAGTCTAAGAACTACTACCACACTCCTTTATTTAGGATCTTTCAGTAACAGGAGAAGAGATTAATTTACCTCCAAATCTCAATAATCAGAGGTAGCCCACATAGGAGCTTATACAAGAGAACTTGAGCAGATTTGGTGAACTGCAGACCATAGCTCTTGAAAGGACTGTAGACTGTCAGGAGATYAGACATCAGTTCTTGATGTTGACTAGCAAGCCAGCAGCTATTCCCCTTTCAGTATTAATGGCTGAGGCTTGTTCGGTCGTGTCACATTTCTTCCTCATTATCTAGTGTGTTCAGCAAGCTTATCCACCACACTGCATTCCCCTTCACTCCCGAGTTTGGAGCCTCTTCCCAGGCTGCTGCATGTTATGCTTCTCTACAGCTTTGTCATGTGCAATCCTAGCTGGAATCCTCTGTGTTAGTAGGGATAGTGTCACCGTGTGGAGGTGCTCCACAGGGAGGCAAGCTAAGCATAGCACAGCCTAAATAAGCAACTACCTGCTCCACTCACAAATAATGTTGTCTGCTGCCTCTGTCCCTTGAGGATAAGAACYGTACTACTCTGTCCAAGAGGACAGCAGAAAATATGTTTCAGCATTGAAGTCTGCTTTCCATTGCATTGTATAAGAACTTAGCATAAYTTTCATTAAAGGTGGACATTTACTAGCTTTCCTAAAGAGTTTGTGCCTAGATGATCCTTTGGGAATTGCCTAATCTCCCTCTGGCTTCACTTAGAAGATCTCACAAAGAGGGACTTCCTTAACTTCAAACACTTGGCAGATACTACAGGACTGCGCACATGTGCTTTATTAATCAGAAGGTCCAGAGAGCTTTAAAACATCACCTAATTTCATGATACAGAAGCACTAAGGAAACACTTGCCTAATTTATTCAACTGTACAGTTCACAGAATGGTTGTGGCTGAAAGGGTCCTCTAAAGATCATTTAATCCAAGCCCCTGCTCAAGCAGGGACACCTACAGCACGTTGTCCAGATGGCTTTTGAGTATCTCCAAGGAAGGAGACTTCACAGCCTCTCTGGGTAACCTGCTCCAGTGCTCAGTAACTCTCACAGTAGAGAGGTTTTTCCTCATGTTCAGTCGGAATTTCCTGTGCTTGTGGTCACAGCCTCTTCTGCTATCCCTGGGCACCACCGAGAATAGTCTGGCTCTGTCCTCTCTGCACGCTCCCTTGAAATACTTCTACACATAAATAAGATCCTTCCTCAGTCTTCTCTAGGCTGAACAGTCCCAGCTCACTTAACCTTTTCTCACATGCAAGATGTCCCAATCCCATCATCATCTTAGCAGCCTTCCCCTGGATTCTCTCCCACAGCTTCACGTCTGTGGGAAGCCCAGAGCTGGACACAGTATCCAGATGCAGCCTCACCTGGGYTGAGTGAGGGAGTTRTTACCTCCTCAACCTGCTGGCAATATTCATGCAACCAAGAACACCACTTGCCACAAGGGCACATTGCTGGCTCAGGGACAAYTTGTCCGCCAGGATGCCCAGGCTGCCTTCTCTGTAGAGCTGCTTTCTAGCAGGCCAACCCCAAGCCTGTACTCGTGCATGGGGTTATTCCTCTATAGAYATTTGCCTTTGTTGAATTTCACAAGGTTCCGGAATCTCCTCCCATCTCTCTAGCCTGCCCAGGTCCCTTTGAAGGACAGCAAAGCCCTCCAGTGCACCAGCCACCACTCCCAGTTTTTTTACTTGCTGAGGGTGCAATCTTGTCTCTTCATTCAGGCCACTTATACACAGGTTGAATAATACTGGACCCAGTACCAGTATTAACTCCTGCCAGACACTACCAGCCTCAAAGATGACTGACAATGGCCCAGCAGTGATACCCAACAGCTCCCTCGGGACCCATGGGTGCATCCAGTCAGGGCCCATAGACTTGCGGTTTTTAGGTTTTCCTAAATGATCTCTCACCAGATCCCACCTTTGCCACAGGAAAGTCTCCCTTTCTCCAGACTGAAGCAAAGAAAGCATTTGTTAACTCTGCCTCCTCTGTATCATGCATCCATCATGAGGGCCCTGCACCATTCCCTAGCAGGCCCACATTTTCCCTAGTCTTCCTTTTGTTACTGATGTATTTGAGGAAGCCCTTCTTGCTCTCCTTGACAACCCTTGCCAGACACGATTCCAAATGGGCCCTGACTTTGCCAGTCACACCCCTGCAGACTCTGTCACGCGCCCTGACTCTTTCTCTTCTGTGCACTTCCTTCATCTTTGAGTTTTAGCTGGAGGCCCTTGTTCATCCACGTAGTTACATAAAGATTAATTTTTTTTTGCCCCACAGAAAACAACTTCTGTATAAGGATGTGGGATGAAAGGCTTTCCTTATGATATGAAGTTTAAGTAGTGAGGAATGACTGTATTTCTATAGTGATCTGCTGCTGAAGGATTTCGGTTAATAAGGTTAACACAAGGCATTGACTCAGGAGGGCATCAGAAGTGTTTGGACCAAGAGGGACCATACTGTTCAGACAACAAMCACCCACCTATGATCTGGGCTTTTCTATGACCTTTTATTGCAGCCATGTTTCACCAATGAGAAGGTTCTGATTAGTCAAGAGGATTAGGGGCAACTGAACACAGACTGAATCACTAGTACTGCTATCATACATAAAAGCTGAAAATAAATTCTAGCTTAAACTATGATTGTTCTACAGACAATTCTGCAATACTTTTGCTATACTATTCTCACGCCGTTAGATATAATCAGCTGCTATGGACAAGCCTTTAGAAATCACCTCCATCACCACAGAGTTTATTTTCCAGTCTACTGGGAATATTTGTGGATAAACTGCACTATAATGCCAGAGGATGAGCACTTTGAAGTTCAGGTATGGATGCTCTGAAGGATTATCTTTGTCA